GTTTACAGTACAAATAGTGCCAGTCAAGGCTGCCCTCATGTGGTAGCAAGATTTCTCTATTAATAGATAACTCTATTCTTAGTTTGTTCTCAAGCAATATGCACATAAATAGTATATCCTCTATAAATAGTAACTTAGTCCCATTGAAAGATACACACAAGCAGACTATAAACTTTAAAAAGTTACTCAGAATAGAGTTAGAAACGTTACACAAAATAAATATTGAGAGGTTGATATCCAGAAAAATTGTAATATTAAGGGGAGGAGAAACCTTTTGGAAAAAAATTGTCATTTTTGGATAGAAATAATTCATACTTGGTGTATTGACAGTATATGACCTGAAATACACAAAATATGAATTTGACCTAATTTGCATAATTAGGTCATGTGATTCAAGATGGCCGCCAACCCGATTTCACCATTATTTCTTTGCCTTATATCTCAGGACTGAAGCAAGATATTTGAATCAGGTTTTTTTTATTAGATTTAGTTATGTTTACACCTTCTTCTGAACTAGAATAAAGCATTTACACATAATACTAGAGATTTAGTGGGGTAAAAGAGGATTTTGCCATTTTTCGCCCCCTCGATATGAAATATAAATCACCATAACTCACAGACCCAAATTGCTTAACCAAAACTTTTAGTTCAGTAGACTTCCTGATATGTACACAGACTTCTGTCAAAATTTCATGAGAAAAGCTCCACAAATAAGTGAGATATAGTGCCTTAAATGATAGCAATCGGGGCAAAAATCAGGTTTTGAGAAAATCCAGGTTAAAGTCAAAGTACACCTACAAATCATTTTAACAGTCAACTTAGAACATTAAAATGCCCCTGAAGCATAAACTTCTCCCTCCTGCTCCCTCTGATTGTCCTGTTCTTGAGCAGATTGAAGTGATTTTTGGGTTTCTCCTCCCCTTAAGTAATCAAGAATGACTTTGAAATGTCATCCAAAAAACTAGATATCAATCTACTCATAGAAATTTATGAAACAATTATGACGATGTGTACAGCTGGAAGCAGTGAACTAGAAAGACAACTGGCAAAAACACAGCGGTATTTATAGGCATTCGGCGCGGACACAATGGAAATGTCCTTTCCAACGACCGAGAGACGTGATGAGAACTTAGTGAGAACAGGCTGGACTGAGTAAGAACTAGTTTGATCGCAATGGTTGGGTTAGGAACTGTGTTGGAACGGGGTTGACCATATTGAGAACGGGACTGAACTTGCCATGAACAGATTAGAAACGAGATGAACGGCTACTACGTTTTAAACGTAGTACGAACTAGCTATGATCGGGATGAAAACAAGATGGACTTGTCGAACTGAATCAGAACGAAGGAGTCTCGTATTCAAAGCATTTTCTGGCCAAAGTTGCCCGATTTCACTCGTCCCCACCCCGTTTCATCAAATTTTTAGGAAGGGCTGGGACGTTCTGAGAACGAGCTTGGTGTGAAGGTACCCTTAGCGCTGCCGCGAGCCAGCTAAGAACCACTCTCATAACTAAGTTATCGTCACTGAGCAAGCGAGCCAGAGTGCACGGAGTACCTTTCCATAACCATTATGTGACATTAGTTTGTTTGCTAGCTAGCTGCTCAGTTGACCGTGAATTTAAAACCATGGCTCGCTCAACCGCCAATGTCTGCAACTCAGTGACTTACGGAGTATCACACGTCATATGAAAGTTATGAAACTCGTTGAGTAAATTTTGCGTTTGCTGCTCGCTAAAGCTGGTTTCATAACTTTCATATGACATGCCCACTCATGTAAGATCCTCTGTTTCCGGCCCTGGGGGATGGTGTGTCCGTAGGACAGGGGCGGTACCATGGCTCTCCTGAAATGCAGCGCTGCCATTTCCAGGGTTTGCTGGAACTCTGAGGGGCTGGCATCAGTGGGCGGGGCATAGAGGCGGAGCGCCCCGCTGGGCCTGCGCTCATTGGTCAGCTGGGTGCGGGGCGTGTCTGGCTCACTCTCCCCCTCACTGGCTGCAGGGCTGGAGTCCTCTCTGCTGCTCTTCACCTCTGAGAGCGAGTGGGAGAGAGGGAGTGATGCTAACGCACACGGTGACTGAAGGGAGCATTTACTGTTCCTTCTGAGGCAGGGCATGATGACAGGAAGTACATTATGTCTTTATGCACAGAGCCGTCAATGCTGACACTTCTCACGTCTAACAGTGGTGTGAGAGAATGTTTTTATCAGTCCAGATTAAACACAATGCTGGCTGCTCGGGTGTCATAAATCATGCGCTTTGTCAGCGCCAATTTAAACACAGTTACACTAGTAATTAGCCTTGTTAACATTATAAGCGTTATTAGCCTTCTTGGCGTTGATAATGTTAATTAAGTCATTAGCTTTGTTAGCACTGTTAGTGTTATCAGTGTTGTTAGCCGTATCAGCGTTCTTTATGTTAATAGCCTTGCTAGCGTTATCAGTGCTGTGAGCCATGTTAGCATTATTAGCATTGTTAGCATAATTTGAGTTGTTAGTGTGACTCATTGGTGCGCGTGAGGCTGCTCAGGACCCAACGTGAGGCGCGTACTTTCCCCATCCTGCGGCGTGTGCCCCCCAGGGCAGGGCTGAGGGGTGGGTTTTCGGGAGGGGGGCAGCTGCTGGGGGTCCCGTGTGTCCGGGGACGTCGGTCCTGGAGAGCAGAACGCCGCAGTGGGCCAGGGAGAAGAGGGAGGGGTGCAGATGACTGTACCTGAAGAGAGAGAGGGAGACTGTGTTTCAGACTGTGCCCAAGTCACAGATGTTTTTATACCCCCGACAAAATTTATATAGGGGTATATATATATATACACACACACGCACACCAAGAATTCCGTCCGTCATTCCGTCCAAAGACATTATTTGTCCGATCGATATCTCGAATATTATTCATTGGATTCTTTTCAAATTTGGCAAACATATTCTCTACCACAGGGTGAGGTGCAGTGCAAAGTGTCAGCCATCTAGGATGATTTTTCACAAAATTATCGCCGTTTTCCTGTTTTTCGACTTAGAAATTTTCAAGTGGGTTCAATGTCAATTTGTCCGATCGATATCTCAAATATAATTTAATGGATTCTTTTCAAATTTGCCACACATAGTTTCTAACATATGGAGAGGTGCAGTGCTTAGTGTCATAGATGTGTTGTTATTTTTGTCAAAATTGATTTTCGGAATGTGATAATTTCTATAATCACCAACGGAAAAAGCATAATTGGGGACGTTGGGGCTATTAATAAGCTCTGCTTACTTTTTCACTTGTTAACACTAGAAAGGCCAGACCTGATGCCATCACTAGGATTAAAATGACTCCAAAATAGTAATTACAAAACTATCCTCCCTTTTCTTATACATTTGGGCTTAAAATCATGCAATATAAAGCATTATTAAATAAAAATAGATTAATGATTTGCAGTCTTCTGATGAAGATGACGCAGACAGTTGGTGGCAATGAGCAACTGAGGATATTGTAGTCAGCAGTTAGAGGTGGAACTGATGCGCAAGTAAATAGCTGGAGCACTGGAACAGAGGAGCCTGTTCAATTAGTCAGGACTGAAATTACTTTTTCAGGATATTGCACTTCTTCCATTTTGCATTGTCTGTCTTGTTTCCCTTATTTTAGAGCTTTTCTGAGCGTGCCTGTGGTCTGCCTTGATACGTCCTCCCCAGACAATCGAACAAAAATCAGGCTGTGCTGAAATCGTTTCAGTCGCGATTATTGTTCCAGGGAAATAGTTTTTTGCGCGATTCTGTTATTAGCGTCATGATTGACAGTTCTGGGAATTCGAAATCCCTGGCGCTGTCTGTGTTCAGTGGCAGGCAGGGGGTGTGATTACCTGTGCTGGGCAGCAGGTGGCAGTCTCTGCTCCAGACTGCGGCGCAGCAGGGTCATGTGACTCAGGGCCAAGCTGAGGTTGACGTGGCAGCGGCCAGGCCACTCCTCCACACACGCCCTGCGCAGACGCCTCCGCCGCTGTCCTCGCCGCAGGAGGGGGGGCAGGAGAGACAGCAGGACGTCCAGCGCCTCGGACTCCCTGCAGACACACGGAGCCCCCCCGTCACACCGAACGCTGCGGTACAGTCTTCTGTCCCGTCAGCACTGCTGTGCAGGATCAGTGGCGGCTGGTGAACTGAAAATAGGGGAGGCACCGAACATCCCTTGAAACTAAGGATTGGTCTTGATCTGCTTTCAGTTATGTATTTAACTGAACACATGAACTCCAAAAACACTCAGCGCTCTCAGTTGTTAACCCCTTAAAGCCCTGAGCCTCTTTTTCGAAAATGGCAAGCCCAAAATGAAATGAGTATATCTCTGCAACTATTTGGTCCATTTGAATGAACTTGGTATCATAATAAAGGTAAACCATTTGGGATTTCTGCCATGGTGTAAAAATCAGTGTATATGTCACTGAGTCAGAGTAAATGAAGATGAAAGACAGTATAAATCAAAGATCTCATTTTGCACCAAACAAAGTTTTACTTCTGTCCCTTGTGAACTTAATTAGTTGCAGTCTGAAACCTCTAAAAATTTACAGCACAGAATCTCACCATTATCTGTGCCAAAGTTTATTCTAATCAAGTAAATCAGAACAAAATTAAAGAGGAATGTCTAGGTGGCTTCTCCAAATTGGCAATTCAGGTACCTTGTCTGCCAAATCAGATTTCTCAGATATTAAACTGTAAAACTCATCTAATTTCACTTATATGTCACTTCAGGCATACATTCCACCCAAATACAACCAGTTTTTAATTTTTATAATTTATTATTTTTTTTATTATTATTATTTCTGCCAGTCCTATAGCCTATACAATTTCCCATTCAAAGACAATAAATACAAAGAAAAGAAGTTTGGCTCCACTGGAGCAGATTTATTTATAAAAAAAAGCAAATTAATAAGATTATGAATACAAAAAGGGTAAAAAAAAAATGGGGAAAAAAGTCAAAAGAATAAAAACCCCAGCAATTATATTTACTAGCAAAATGGCACTAATGTTCAACTAAAGCACATCGAACCAGAGACTCGAACACTGGTCGCCTGCATTGTAGCCCTACACCCTAACCACTAGGCTATATCATTTGAAAATAACATTGCTTTCAAATTGCCCATATAAAGAATGAGTCAAAAAAACAAGCCACTCATCTTGTTTGTACTGTTGTACAGTATTCACGCGTTTCTGTCAGAAAACGACTTTGAAAACGACAGTTGAATATTTAGCGGATAATTATACCGAAAATACCACAAACAAACCTGTTAAGCGTTTATATTGACGCGCTATTTAAGTACATTTGAATGGCCCATGGACTCTGTTTGACGCACTGGGAACGCAAAGCTCTAGCTCAGGCTAGCTTTGTGCGATAAAGGTGCTTTAGGGCTCGTTGGAAACGTCAGAAGCCATAGAATCAAATGACTACCGGCAAAGTCTTACTGACAGCATCACAAGCCGATCACAGAGAGGAAAATACATTGCAAGCAAGCTGAATGCTGAGGAACTGAGATCTTTGAAGCAACGCTCGAGAAGAAAAACATGCTTTGAGACTCGCAGATCTAGCTTCGTTATAACACGGACACATTGAGCTAACAATAGCAAGCGTGGATTTACCCTCAAACAGTTTTTTTTTATTACAAAATATCAAAGGTAAGAAATTTCTTTGCTCATTTCTGTAGACTGTAAAGTGTATGCCTGCTTTTCTTTGAGCGTGGTGTCGGTTTAAAATGACAGGGCTCATATCATTGGATTCTGTGTAGGCATGGGCAATACAAATGAATAAAATTACAACATTTCTTGAGTTGCTGAGAACAAAGTTTTTATTATTTTCTAATGATTTTTTGCAGGTAAGTACAGAAGACACAGATGAAGAGTTTGCCACAAGTCCAACGCCTTTACAGGAAAGGGTCTCAGAGCCACAGGGTCCCAAAAATGGCTGATTTCGGCATTTTTCAACAAAACCCATTGTGAAAATTGGGGGATGAAGCCTGAGGGCATTTTCGAAAATGCAGTCTACTCAGAAATAAACCTGGCCAAATTATCCATTAGGGTACCCTAACAGAAATAATTGATGCTAAAGTCATCTACCCCTTTTCTGAAGTACAGCAGCACCCCCTAGGCCCTTTTTAATGGAAAATGCATTGAATTTCACCCAATTATGTTCAACAAACATTAGGTTTTGCATTGATATTAAAAAATGGTATGAATGGGTTGCCTGTGAGTTTTTTTTGGATCAATGACCTGCAAAATGTCAAAATTATCGGTGGGAGGGCAAACATTAACGCTACTCGCCCATTACTATATAAAATGCAGTGAAGTTGCTGATGCGGCAGTTGTTTGCCCTCCCACTGCTACTTTAAATGAATCAAACCCTTCAATAACCCGTGGTGATTTAAAAGAAAAAAACTTTGCACTGTTTTTTTACTATGTCCATATACCCTCCTCCCATGACAGTTCCAATGAGCTATTGCGAATAATTCATAGTAAAAACACAGTGACTAGAAAGGCAGTCTGATGCCATCACCAGGATTAAAAAAGGCCAAAATAGTAATTACAAAAAATCCTCCCCTTATACATTTACTTGATTAATATAAAGCTGATTAAAAATAGTTTATGATTTAAGTCTTCTGAGAAATGACAGGCCAAGTTTGAGGATATTGTAGTCAGCAGTTATGGAACTGAACCTGAAATGCTCACTGGAACAGAGGAGCCAGATTTAGTCAGGACTGAAATTGCTTTTTTTCAAGAATTGCACTTCTTCCATTTTGCAATGTCATCAACAAATATAAAAACAGTGGTCTGCCTTGATACGCCCCTCCCCAGAGTTCAAAAAATCAGGCTTAATCAATATACAATATTGTTCCAGGGAAATAGTTTTAAATTCTGTTATTAGCGCCATGATTGACAGCTCTGGGAACAAATCCCTGGCGCTTCTGTGTTCAGTTGCAGGCAAACCTGTGCTGGGCAGCTGGCATTTTCCAGACTCAGGGTTGTCATAATCCGATTAACAAAATGTTTAGACGATATACAGAATTACCGAGAGCTGCGGTACATTTTTCCTAATTGATTATTCAGATTTCCATCCTTGCTAAGGAGTCTTGAACTGAATGTATTTAATGAACAATGAATCTTCAGTTGACGGTGGGCTTAAAGCCCTGAGCGGTTTATTTTTTGAAAAATATTTAAGCCCAAAACAAAAGGGTCACAGGATATCTGTCAACAAACTATTTGGTCCATTTGAATGAACTTGGTATCATAATAAAGGTAAAAACCATTTGGATATTTGTCATGGTGTAAAAAAATCAGTGTATGTGTCACTGGACTCAGAGTAAATGAAGATGAAAGACACCAAAGATCTCATTTTGCACCAAACAAAGTTTTACTTATTTTGAGAACTTATTTAGTTGCAGTCTGAAAGCCTTTACAGCACAGAATCTCACTATTGTCTGGGCCAAAGTTTATTCTAATCAATTAAATCAGAACAAAATTACAGAGGAGGTCTAAATGGCCAAATTGGTAGCTCAGGTGCCTTGTGTGCCAAATCAGACTCAGATATTAAACTGTAAAACTCATCTAATTAACTTATATATTTCAGGCATACATTCCACCCAAATACAACCAGTTTTTAATTTTTAGAAATTATTTTTTTATAATTTTTATTTTGCCAGTCCTATTTGAAAATTTCCCATTCAAAGACAATAAATCAAAGAAAATGAAGTTCGGCCCACTGAGCAGATTTATTTATAAAAAAAGCAAATTAATAAGATTTGAATACAAAAAAGGGTAAAAAAAATGGGGAAAAAAGTCAAAAGAATAAAAACCCGAGCAATTATATTTGCAAAATGGCACTAATGTCTAACTAAAACACATCCAATTCGAACACTGGTTGCCTGCATTGTATACACCCCAACCACTAGGCTATATCATTTGACAATAAATTGTTTTCAAATGTATGAAATGCAAGGTATCTTGTTTGAAAAAGTATTGCTTTTAATCAAACCATGGTGTTCTAATATATTTAATATGAAAATACCACAAACAAACCTGTTACGCTATTTTATTGAACGTTATTTGAGGCTACATTTGAATGGCCCATGGAGCTGTTTACGCATTCCATTGGGAACGCAAAGCTCTAGCTCAGGCTAGCTTTGTGCGATTGCTTTAGAGTTTTGGAAACGCCAGATGCCTAGATTCTGTGGACTTTGACAGCATCTTTCAGAGAGGAAAATTTGAGGTGAATTGAGGTTTTTATGCATAGCAAGAAGAAAATTCAGGAGAAAGTTTTTAACTCGACACATTGAGCTAACAATGATTTTATCAAACAGTTTTTTTTTTATTACAAAATATCAAAGGTAAGAAATATTTATTTACTTGCTTGGTGCTTCAATTGTTTTCGGTTGAGGTATATATGGTCAACATGAGCTTTTTGCCTAGTTTCTTCATGAAATGTGGATATGCCGCATGACAATGTTGTGATTTGGAAACATGCTGTATTTATTATGCGTAACCACCGCCCCCCGGTCCCGGGGCATAGGGCTTAAGGGGTTAAAAACAGAAAACAGATCAAGACCAATCATTTTCAGTTCACCAGCCGTCACTGATCTAGATGCCTGATTGATCAAGTTTGCAAACAGTAGTTAGACAGACGAACGGGCAAACAGGCAGGCGAACAGACTGGGGAGTACGACAGACAAGCTGTTTCAGCGAGACAGGGCGGCAGACAGACAAACTCACACAGACAGACAGATAAACAGACTCGGGAGGGGGCACCTCTCTGTGAGCTGTGCCTTCAGCAGGCCCTGCTGTCTCCTCAGCTGACGGCCCTTCTTCCTGTCCGAGCCGGCTGTGGTGCTCTTGGTCTTGTGCACTTTCTGCGCCGAGAGGAAAGCCCAGCTTAGTGTGCTCCCAGCTCTCCACAGGAACAACTCACATACGTAACAACACCCTCTCCCTCTCATGGAGCTCAAATTTACTGGCTTTAAATTACTTTCTAATGATGTTCCACTCATTTCAGAATGTTTCAGAATTCAGAAACACAAACCAAATAGGTAGCAATCATTCTCTTGAAGTTCTCAGTTGTCTGAATAGTTTATTAAAATCCCTTCAGTGCTGCCGAATACAGAAATCATCATTGTTCTGGGCTCACAGTGTGTCCCCGACATTGCGGTCGTACCCTATCGTACTCGATGACGGACGCAGTGTACTTCTTTGTTCCGTCGTCGGCGCGGCCCTGATCCAGCAGCTCTGTTGTCGCGATCTTCTTCCAAGTTAGACTTTCGTCCCGTCTGTCAAACCCCCACAAAACAAAATAAGACATTATCAACATCAGACTCCGCTTTTCTGGGGGTCACGGACCAGACAGTGTTGGCTTAGACCACCTGACTTCCTACCAGGAATGATGTCATGATGGTGTCATGAAGACTGCTCTGAGCAATGATTAGACGGAGCTTTTGACAAGAGACAGAGAATATGAGGCCAATCTACTAGCCAAAGCCACAGAGAGTGAGACACTCTCTCAAACACACACACACACAAACACCTGCAGAGCCACTTGAGGATGCTCTGTCCCCACTCCTGCACTAGGTCCAGGCGATCGTCCCACAGCGCCCTCTGCAGGAGAGGTACGGCCAGCTCCAGGAAGCAGGCCCTCCTCTTCATCTTCATCACTGTGGATAAGGATGGGGGGGGGTGGGAGTTATGTTAACAGCAATCAGAGTTTACAGCAGAAGGCTGCTCAGCCATTCGCATCGCACTCAAATGGAAGGACGGATAGGCACTGTGTGGGAGTGTTGTCTGGGTGGAAGTCAGCGTTAGAACACCGACACTGTAACCGCATGTATAAAAGCACAATCGTCCGAGCATTTTAAAGTATCGCACAGGATTTGAATGGGAGCCGCTGGGGTGTGACGGTACCGTGTCTGAAGGCAGTCAGGAGAGGGCTGGTGCAGATCAGGCTGTACACCAGAATGAAGTCCTCCTGTCCCGTCAGTTCCAAGAGCCCTGGGGGAGGGACAACACATTTTATTTTATTCCTCCTTCACTCTTTGAAGAGCACGTCATTCCATCAATTTTTTCCTTAATTGTAAGTCTG